AGGGTATGAAGATGCTGCCTTGAAGACACAACGTAGTCTTGCTATTTTAAACTTTGGTCAAAGTTTAGTATTCAGTACTGCTCTTTCAGCTGCTATGGTGTTGACTTCAAATGGCATATTGAATGGTCAAATGACTGTTGGTGATCTGGTATTATACCTTTTTGAGTCTCATATAATTCTGACAAATATAATTTATGAAGTGGTGTTACAAACTATAAACTATGGGGATTATGCACAGGTTATGGTGAATGGGCTCTTATTCCAACTCTCTCTTCCTCTGAATTTCCTTGGAAGTGTGTATCGTGAAACTGTGCAGAGTCTTGTTGACATGAAATCCATGTTTCAGCTGCTTGAGGTACTTCCATAGATTGAAGTGTTTTATTGTTATTTTATATATGCAAGAAACAGCAATGTACTTTTCCTATATTTCATATAAACCGGAGCCTATGTGATAAATATGTCAGTAAAGAAGAATATATTATATATATATATATATATATATATATATATATATATATTTTTGAATGTACAGGAGAAGGCGGAAGTGGGAAATGCAGATGATGCAAAGGCTTTAAAGTTAGGAGGAGGTAGCATTGAATTTGAAGATGTTCATTTCAGGTAATAAGTAATGATTGATAAAAGGTAATTATTTTTGGATTTAAGTTGCTGATATGTGGTCTGGTGTGGTTATTTTAGTTATCTACCAGAAAGAAAGATTCTTGATGGGATATCTTTTGTGGTTCCATCTGGGAAAAGTGTGGCTATTGTTGGAACTAGTGGCAGTGGTAAACTTTCTCATCTCTTTTTTTTAAAAGTAAATGTAAATGTATTTAGTGATTGTAGTACAATTAGGCTTCAAAATCATATATATTGAATTTTTTTTTGCATCAAAGTCACGTTTCTTATATATAAATGTGCAGGGAAATCAACTGTCCTTAGGATGATATTCAGGTTCTTTGACACCAATTCTGGCACGGTAAGTGATTATTTTTTTGCATCAAGTCGCATTTCTTCAAAGTGGTCTATCCCATTCCATCATGCATAGAGTTTTTTTCTTCTTAATTCAATGGAATAAATAATTCCATTCCTTTGTCAAAGGATTTAGTCACACCTAACTTACTACTTACTAGGTGGTATAATATCTAAAGTATAAGACTTTCCTATATATATGACAGGTGAGGGTAGATGGTCAAGATGTACGAAAAGTTACGCTCGAAAGCCTTAGAAAATATATCGGCGTGGTCCCGCAGGATACGGTAAGTTCAAGAAACATCACCGATCACGTTTTTATTATTATTATTTTTTTTGACTTATTTATTCAAGTTTTGAGTTGTTAAGTTATTTACATTTCTCTTTTAAGTCTTTAAGTGAGATTGAAGCACCCTTGTCTTTGTTTCTTTGAGCACAGGTATTATTCAACGATACAATTTTTCACAACATCCATTATGGCCATCTTTCAGCTACACCTGAAGAGGTTGTTCCTTTGTGACATCACTTAATAGTATGTATTAAAACGGGAGCTTCATTTTGATTTTTGACTGACCAATTGACTTAATGCAGGTGTATGATGCTGCTCGAAAAGCAGCAATTCATGACACTATTATGAACTTCCCCCAAAAATACTCCACTCTAGTTGGTGAACGTGGTCTCAAGGTAACAACCATATTAAACTATGATGAGTGGATATTTTAATACACAAATAATGTGTTGTTTTTCATATTCTTAATTGTTAACAGCTTAGTGGGGGTGAGAAACAAAGAGTGGCTCTGGCTCGTGCCTTCCTGAAAGCTCCTCCTATTTTGTAAGTCTCCATTGCTTTTCAACTGTAACTGTAAATGATTTTATTATCATAATAACATTTCTGTTTGATTGACACAGGCTGTGTGATGAAGCAACAAGTGCTCTGGATAGCACAACAGAAGCAGAGATACTGACAGCATTGAGGTCACTTGCCAATAACCGAACAGCAGTCTTTGTTGCTCATAGGCTTACAACTGCAATGCAGTGCGACCAGGCAACCCCCTTCCCCTTCCTCTTTTTATTTTTTAATTCTAAAAATAAAAAAATAAAAAAAAAAACATTTTCTTATGTTATCGTGGGCTAAATATTTGTTTGATTCAGATTATTGTGCTGGAGAACGGGAGGGTGGTGGAGCAGGGTGCTCATGAAGCTCTGTTGTCAAATGGTGGTAGATATTCACAACTCTGGTCACAGCAAAACAACACAGTTGATGCTCTTGATGCAGCTATCCCATCAAATTAGATTACAAGCTTTAATTATAATTATTATTATTCTTCATGTTGATGGATTTTTGTTTCTTTAAAAAACAAAAAAACATACCTAGTCAAATCATTTTTCAGCTACTTGTATAGTTTTTTCTTGTGTTAATGTTGATGGCTGTGTGATACGTTGTGTATATCTTCTCCAGTTTTACAATATCCAATTTGTTTCAACTAAGCCACATAGCGATTGTAAGTGTTTATAGCTTTGTGTATTTAAAACTCTCAACATCAAAACGCAACTTGATTTATAAAGCACTTCTCTTAATTCCAAAAAAATAAAAATAAAAACTGATTATGCACAATGCTAAGTAGTAAAACCTCATAAAACAAAATAGAAATAACATTTATAGATTCACATGACCTTCTGTTTTCAACTTCTTCCATCTTCACATAATCAATCTCTTCCCTAAGCTGTCTTCAAAACATCAAGCTCGATTGTGGATGGGGTCTGACCCTTTCCTTACTGTTCTTTTGCTTGATTGACAACAACTGAATTTCTTGTTTACAGCTTCCTCAGATGATGGATTTCTTTTAGGATCATCCATGTCAATCACTGCCTTAAGCATGCGATGATTCATCACTAATCCATGGTCTTGTTTTGTGAATCTTAGTTCAATCCCTACACTTCTGATGCCAGAAACCGTATATGGTTCAACTGCTAATATCCCAATGCAGGTAACAAATATGAATAGCTTATGACTACCAGGAATCATAGTTCATATGTAAACGAGATAAGTGGTAAGAGAGAGAGAGAGAGTGTGTTTCCTTTAAAACAAGAAGGAAACAAGTAAGACTGATAGCTTAGTCTTACATGTGTACATCTAATACCCGGATTTATATATATAGAGAGAGAGTAAATGAGGTGTAGGACCCACGTGGCCTAGAAGAAGTTCCAGATTTATTCCAATCATCAGCCTTCAATCTATAAGCAGAATAAAGAAAGTAAAAGAATCTGACTAGGATGAATAAAGGAAAATGGAACAGTACCCTTGAGAAGCTAAGCATCTTTTTCCTTCCTCTTTGCTTTTGTCTACTAATGAAAGACCAAACCATTAACCATTGTCTCCAACTCCATTATATATATCTTGCCACATCAGCATACCCATGTGGCAATATCATGAAGGGTATTTTGGTATTATTACTTTTGCTTAGTTAGTAAGAAAAGAGAGACATGAGCAGCAAAACACCAAATAGGCCTTGTGTTTGGCTAGTCGGAAAGAAGAATAGTGAAAAAGCATTAAAAAAAATTAGACAAACTTATAAAAAACATATACTTTATGCGCTTTGAAGATCTCACTTTAGCATTCCAAGCTCTGTTTCCCATGCAACAAAAAGAACAGTCTCAGATTCTTGTGCTAAATGTGTTTCTTTGCTTTTCTTTATTTTGCTCTCATTCAAAACTAATCGTGCTCTCTCTCATCATCATCAAGGTGGAACATTCTAATTAAAGCTCATGTTTTTATGCTTTATCGATCGGATTTGATGGGTTTCAAGATCAAAGGGAAGATGACAATTGTTTATTGATCTGATCTCAATAAGGATAATAAAGATTTTGGCAAGGGTACATAAAAGTTAGATTCAAATGTGATGTACTTATTAGATACACTTGCTTCCTCACTTAAAGTAGAATATAATGTCATGATCTGAATCTTTAGCATTTTATACTAGTTATATAAATAGAAGCTCATAATTCAAAAAACTTGTGAGATATTGGCTTTGCAGCTTGTAGATTCTCTCAAGCCTGGTCTTAAAGAAATTGCTTTTGTTAACTTTAGTGCAAATTTTGGGTCCATTATCAAGTTATGCATCAAAATTCAAAATACTCTCCACAATTATAAGCAAATAATAAAAAGAGAAACAGAAAATGAATATTCAGGGTCTATTATAAATTCATAGTACAACTATCAATGCAATGAGTAATCCCTATAATGGATTTATGGAGATGGGACACAAGTTGTTGCAAGTTCAATGGTTTTATGTAAATTGGAATTTGATTCAAAATTTATGCTAAAAGGCGGGTGAAGGTATTTTTGCAAGAGGACAATAGGAATGTCACTATTAATGAGTTCTATGCTAAAGATGAATGCTTTATTGGTTACATTACCACCATTTATTCTATATGTTTTATAAAAGCAAGATTTAGATACGTGACATAAGACCGAGAGAGAGAGAGAGATATTGTGACAAATATAGAATTCAAGATCTTCGATAACAGTTATTTTTATTGCTTGAAAACCTAAACATAAGTTTTTTAGACGCTTACTATTATCCAAAGGCCTCGCAAAAACTTTATGCCAAACAAGCAAAATCTATCACAAGCTCAACTTGCTATTATGGCAATATGGCCCCACCCGAACACCCGCTTCATTTGGTAAATTGCAGCTCAATTTTCATTTTGTCCACAAAATAAACCCAACTTCTCTACCATTATAAAAGGCAAATTATGTGGAATAGCAACCATAATGTATAAAAGCAAAAGCCATGTAATTTGATTTCTTTACCCATACTAGCTTTTTCTTTTACCGATATAAAAACAGCATACTTTACTTATTACCTACTTAATATTTTTTTACCCATATTAACAGAAATGTACTTCATTTTTTTATGTATCACAGAAATGTAAGTATGTTGCTATTATATGTAACGCAAAACATAATCACGATGCTATTATGGTTTACGTACTGCTATTGCTATTATCGGCAAAGAAACATAACATGTGTTATGATTATGTGTAAATAAATGTTAAGTATATTGCTATTAAGGGTAAAAAAACAAATACATTGCCTACATTGGTAAAAAAAAGTAAAACATGTCAGCTGTTTCCTACAATTTGCCTCGATATAAAAAACAAAATACAATAACTGTGTCATCTTTTTTCCACCACAAAGATGATCCAATCCAGCATATAATAAGTGTTGCAAAAAGAAATGTAATGATTGAAGTACAAATCAAACAGAAAATTTTACGCCCTCATCATCTGTTGAAGTTCCCTTGAAGATTGCAAGTTTTCCTTTGTTTTCCAGAAGTTTAAGTGCCCTCACTAGAACAGTTCGGTCCATTCCATGGATATCTGAGATAGTTTCAAATCTTTTTAGAGCGATTGATTTGATTTCATTTTTTTTTAATCCGAGTAAATTTACATTTTTTGTCCCTAGATGTAGCCGGTTTTTGCAAAATTTGGTCCCAAAAAGTTTTATCATGCAAATTTGGTCCGTATTGAGGTCCTTGTAACGTTTTTGGTCCCTGTTCCAAGTGAAAGGACTATTTTTGGTCCCTGAATATAGCTAATTCTTTTTGCCAATTTTGTCCCAATAAAATAGTTACTTTACTTGGGAACAAGACCAAAAATGTTACAAGGATCTCAAATAAGGACCAAAACTGCAAGAGAAATTTTTTTGGAACCAAAGTCGAAAAAATCAGCTATAATTAGGGACCAAAGATGTAAGATAGTCTTTAAATTATTTTTTGCAAAAATAAATGGTCAGTGAAATTACCTGTTCCACGTGACTCGATCCCTGAACGTATTTCCTCAATTGTCATTACACTATCCTCTAATCCATTCTCCTTAACCTAATAAATCGATAATCATTAAAAAAAACATCCACTTACTCTGATAAATGAAAAGAATAGCATAGTACATACAAAGCGTATGATGAGGTCAGCCCAATCTTTTATACGATGCCACAAGATAAGACATTGCCTATGACTCTTGTCCATCCATTCTGCACGTCCTGTTAGGATATTACCATTTCAAACAGTCAGGACATGACATGACACAACAGGTGGTACTGTGTTTAACATGCCTCAGACTGTGCAGTCTGAGACCGGTGTCAATGAGACAAAAATGGTGATAGTTTGTGCCACCCAAAAAAGGTGGGGCAAGGATTCACTCTCAATCTAACATATGTGCAAAAGACATAAATGCCCTTATCATCCGCATCATTGAAAATAGCCCTAGAAAGCTTGTCCAGTCCATTGTTGTCCCGTGTAACAAACACAGCCTATATTTCTTACTAGTTTTACATATTATATTTATAATTTAAAGGAAAAAAAAAACTATTGTTGAATATGTGTGACTAGGAATCCTAACAAAAAGGGATAAAGAAAATCAAGAAAGTAAAATGGACACGAACCATCCAAGACTATGGCTGACAGGAAAGCTTCTCTTGCTTCATGATTCAGAGACCCTGCACTACCACATTCAAAACTTATTCACCACTACAGTTGAATAAATCAATCATAAATAATTTCATCTAATTTTAGCAATTTTGTCAAATCATTTCAAGAATCAAGTTGATATCTTGTTTAAGACTACCACATTGAACACAATGAAGCTTTGGTTTTTTCTTGGTTTTAAGGAAGTCATCAATGACATTTTGACAACTTATCATATATAAGAATCATCAATACTAATCACAAATAAGATACCAAAAAAAACACACACACACAGTACAGTCTACAGCGTGCAAAAATGAGCCATGGAACAATAGTTTATTTGGAACATAAAACGAAGTACAACGGTATGGAAAGTCGAATATGCCTCCAAGGACTATTTGACAAGTGAAAGAAGGGAGTGCTTACTTTCAATTGCAGGGTTGGAGAACAGGGGAAAGTCTTCTTCCAATCCAATTATAAATATCTTTTGTGTTCGACAATAATCAAGAATAAGTTCCTTCCATAGTTGTATTTGCTTCTCTCTTGTTTCTCTCACAGGCTGCAACCTGATGAAAGATGCAATGTAAATACAAAACTGATCCCAAACAGAGACCAAACCATGTCAATAGGGATTCTCAAGAAAATGCTCAAACCTAGTTACTGGATACAATTAACTTCAAGAAGGCAATAAACACTTATAATTTTTTTACGATAAACAGTTATCTTATCAGTTGTAGTGTAGCTTTTTCAATATCCAATTTGGGATTGCACGCATAATAGTTCTACTTGTCTTTGAAAGATCTTTGACTATTTCTACCTTCAGAAGGTACATCTTTTCTAACAATAACAATACAGGGACAGTAGGCGATTTATAATTCTCCATATAGATGGCTAGAGTGAATTTAACAATAAACGTAGCTTGGAAAAAAGTAAGTCATTACGTAAAGTAGGGCGGATAATTAAAGAAGTGGGGCAACTTATGATCGCCAAGTGTCTGCATCGTCTTGCACTCAGAATTAACTTCGTAATCCTGCAGAAAAATCAAATATGATGCTTGTTGTTATTTAGAATTGAGAAAAACCAGTCCGATTTCTGAGTGGTACATAAGTCATATAATCCCTTAAACTCTAATTTCGCAAACGAAATCACAATCATGACTCATAGTGCCTTAAAGTACAAATCTCAATTTCACCACCAAAAGCAACAGAAGTCGTAAGGAGTGTAAGAGAGGAAATGTTACGATAGCTTTAAGCGAGCAATCACAAATTGCGTTACTGTGAGCGTTCTTTTGCAACACGATGATCAATTAGATGTATCTAGACGAATCGGTTTGACCTAATAGATGTATCTAGACGAATCGGTTTGACCTAATTTCCCAGTAGAAAAGCTGTCTATGTGTTGGAGATACTGGTGATAACTGGTGATATCAGGTGACCTATGGATAGATTTGCGTAAAAGTAATGAACTTAAATTAGTTTAACTAGTTTAACTATGTGATAATAAAAATTTAATATCAATATTTAAACATTAAATATTTTATAAAATAATATTTTTAGGTAACATAATATAATCTTTTAAAATATTTATAAAAGAAATCAAATATTCTTTAAAGCATTTATGAGATTTTATTATCAAATTAATATAATTATTTTCTTTTCTTATAAAACTTGGTAGAAATTTGTGTAATTTTATTATAAGAAAATGGAAATTTTCAAAAAATGACAAGTGTAAAATAATAATTGTAAAACTCCTACAAAATTACATGTGACAAAACTCTTAAGAATTTAACAAGTAACAAAAAAAACCTTCATTTATTAGGGAGGATTGATCCTAATGTATTTTTCTTGCCTGAACAATGTACACATTGACGTGCTTAGTGGGGTTGGATATTTGCTTTTAGAATGATTTTTAATTTTTTTTAAAAAACTAAAAAAATGTTTGGGTAATAGAAAAGTTCTTTTAAAATGACTTTTTGCAAAGGAAATATGGGTTTCAAAAAAACATAAAAACCTGATTTTTTGTGATTTTACAGGTAAAAGTTACACGAAAAATCATTTTTTTAATCGAAACATATTTTAAATAGCTCATTTTGCAAAAAAAATCATTCTACAAAAAGGACTTTTGACGTTCAAAAACAATCCTAAACACCCCCTTAATTGGTCCTTATTACCTGATTTGTAAAACGAATCTAATTAAATCATTTATCTCCAACGCACCTTTTCCAAATCAAGGTAAAAAAAAAATACCATTTTTTGCAATTTTAAGAGCTTTGCAGAGGAAGTACACGTTGACCTACTTGGTGGGTGTTTGACATTGCTTTTAGAATGACTTTTAACTTTTTTTAAAATCCAAAAGATGTTTGGATAATAGAAAAGTTCTTTTGAAATGACTTTTTGCAGAGGAAGTATAAGTTTCAAAAAGTCATAAAAACCTGAATTTTGAGAATTTACATGTAAAAGTTACACAAAAAATCATTTTTTTTAATCTAAACACATTTTAAATAGTTCATTTTGCAAAAAATCCTTCTACAAAAAGGACTTTTGACGTTCAAAAGCAATCCCAAACACCCCCTTAATTGGTCCTTATTACATGATTTAACTAACTGGTTTGTAAAACGAATCTAATTAAATCCATTATCTCCAATGCACCTTTTCCAAATCAAGGTCAAAGAAAAACACCATTTTTTGCTTTGATCAGAACTCTTTTTTTTATATTTTTTTTAGGTTTCGCTTTTGCATTCAGGAGATTCAAAAACAATAAAATATTCAAAAACAAAATGAAAGCAACTTAATTTCATAGAGATTATGTAAGAATAGTAAAAGTTTGTGTTTTGCCCAACCCCAGTGCAAAATGGTTTTGTATAGTCGAATTTATGGGAAAGGGCAGAGTTTTCTATGAAATTAGGCGCACTCTCAATCACACCATATGGAATTGTCAACCGATAGAATCGCACAGCAAATGGGCAATCGTGCTTGAGAAATCACATATGAAAGGGTTGTCACGTACCTTAAGCTGCTGCAGGGATGAGTATTTGTATTCTCACAATAGGGGGCGTAAATAGAACCCTAGAATCAGACCTGGGTTCGAAGTTGCAAAGGGCAGGGTTAATTCGAGATTCTCGAGTCACACCAGAGGAAGTGTTGTATCTGGTAAGCGCTGATTCTTTGAGCCCTAGCAGTCGATGAGAAGGGCGTTGGTTAAAACGATAAGCTAAGGGAAGTAGCTGTTTGTTTTTTAACATTTGTGGGTTGTTAAAATAAACTAAAATCTAATTAAATTAAACTAATTAAAAACACATAAAAAAGTTTTTCAATAACTAAAATCTATTAACTTTTATCTACCATTATATAAAAAGTAAAAATAAAATTGTACAAATTAACATATATATTTGATAAAAACCAATAAACTATGATCACAAAGTTATACCTAAACATTGTAATTAGGGATAAAAAAACTTAATATATAAAATTGATGAAAATAAACTTTGATTTTAAATGAAATTTTTTAAAATTATCATTTTACTTTTTCAATTAAATAAATGATATTGTATTAAATAATGTTTTATAAACTTGGGGTAAATTACACGGATGGTCTCTATGGTTTAGGCTCCTCAACTCACCGAGTTTTCTCATTAAACCCCGCAACCCAAACAACTTCTACTCGCCGAGTTGAGGCCCCTCAACTCGTCGAGTAGACCCTTTAATCTTCATGATTCTTCATTTTCGACACGTCGAGTTGGCTCCTCTAACTCGCAAAGTTCAACTCCAAGTTGAGCTAAATGCCTAAATTCAACAATTAACCTTCTAGATTCTGGGTGTTACAAACAAAATAATTAATAAACAATTAAATATATATGACAAAATTGCAAAAATGGTCCTTGTGGTATGCATTTTTTTGGGGTTTCAGTCCAAAACCTCGACTTTTTTTATTCATGGTCCTTTTAGCCTAGTTTGTATGTAGAAATGGTCCCCCGACTTAACTTCCGTTAAGTTATTACTGTTAACCCCCTCATGTGCATCTCACATGAGGGTATATTTGTCTTTTCACATATAAAGGACCATTTTTGCACCTAAAAAATATATCCCCTTTTTTTAAAATAAAAATTAATACCTATTTATTTATTTTAATAATTAAAAAATTAAAAGGCCTCTCTCTCTCTCTCTCTCTCCACCCAAAACACAATCAACAGTTTTGATTTGTGTATGTGTGTGTTTTCATTTCTGAAGGTGTTTCTGGGTTTTGTTTCAACCACCATCTCTAACCCTGGTTTTTAGATTTGTAATAAATGTAGCTTTTTAGATCGAGTAAGGGAAGAAACGAGTGAGGCGGACGATTGGAGTCTCCAACGGTGGCTGGTGATCGTGAGGAGGGGTGGCATGGATCTCCGGCGAGCCCTCCTTCGTTGTTCCTTTTCCCGATCCGGCATCAAAACACACATGGGAGGAAGGAAGTTGCAGTCGCCGATCAAAGGGAGTGTCATAGGTGCTCAATCGGACTGATGAAGGAAAAATAAGATCGAAGGTAGCAAGGGCTGCTTAAGCATTGATCTGTGAAGGAGAAGGAATGAAGGAAGATCCGAGTGAAACAGGTAAGCTACGACAACAACTTCTGTAAGGAAAGGTGCAAAAGGGGGAAGATGTGATGAATAACCGAAGGAGGTGGCAAGGCTGCTCCCCGGCGAGTCTCATCGTGGTTTCTTTCTCGTCATCGATAGCAACGATTCGGAAGGGAATCAGAGCAGCTGCAACAACAACGATTGAGGTGGGGTGTTTGGGGTTGTGCTTTTTCGATTGTAGGAGGGTTGCAGAGGTGTTGAACATCGATTGCAGTCATCGAGAGGGTTGTAACTCCTCTTGATCTCACCGGAAACAACCATCCAAAAGTGTGTTTATTTGTTTGATGCTCGACAGGGGATTTTGGGTGATGCTTCTTCAACAATGGTGTTTGGGAAGAATGTCACAACTGGAAATTTTGTGTCATGTAATCTATACATTCAACCTAATGTGAATCAAAAACTTCAATCAAATACAATATACAAGCACTACAAGTAGTCACCAAACAATTGGAGACCCTAGAAGTTCTTGTTAAGTCCATTTTGGACTAGGACTTCCTATTTGGATCCAAATGGACCAATAAGCTTCCAATTGGACTATCATGGGCTTAGGACCCTAATTGGGCTCTAATTGGACCCACACTAATTTATTTCAACATTTTAGGTCATATTGGGCCTAGAATGAAATAAATCACAAGCTTTGATCCATAATTTAACCTAACCTAGCTTAATAAAGCATAAAAATCACAATTTTAATTTATAAGGCCAATAAATACCCTAAACTACCCCTAATGTTGGGCTTAGGGGCAAAAAGCCCAATTTTTCCTTCTTCCCTCCCCATTCTCGGCCCAAGCCCAAGGAAAAGGGAGAGTTGACCTTGGGTTGCCACCTCACCTTTACATGTTGGACTTCCATGCATATAACTCATGTTTCCAAGCAAACATCATATCAAGATCACTTCTTTTTCTCTCCTCTCTCCTTGTTTCGGCCGAGAGCAACACCACACACACACAAAACACTCACAAACTCTCTCTAAAATTCACTCAAGGCTTCCTCTTCTTCCCTCTCCAAAATCTCGAGTTCTAGGAAGCATTCAAGAGGAAATCTCCACAAAATTCTTCATCTAAGGTAAGATTATGCATAGATCTATGGTTTAAATTCTTTTGTTATCAAAATCCTTTCCTAATCTATGCAAAAATCGTAATCTTGTATCCTAGAACCATCTCAAAACTCGAGATCTTCTTCAAAGGGAGCTAAGGCCAAAAACACTTCATTTTCCTTCCATTTTTCCTTGCAAAACCGAATCAACACCCCAAGGTGAGCTTCATACCCCCTATTTTCTGTTTTTATGAGTTTTGTGGGGGGGGGGAAATACAAGTGAAAGTGTAGATCTATATGTGTTTTGTATGCCTTGTATGATTTCCATGCTTATATGTATGCTTTTATGTGTTTTTATGTTGGATCTAGCATTAAAACCCATCAAAACCGAGATATATCTTGTGTTAAATGATTTTAGCTTCAAATATATTTCTAAACACAAAGTATTTCAAGAAAAATGGCTAAGTGGTTTAGTAATAATTTTCTTTGGGTTAAAAACACAAATTTTGGGCCTAAAATGTGAAAAATGCAAAAATAAGGGCCCAAATTGACATTTCACAGATTCTGATGGATGAAGTGTGCCAAAACAGTTTCCATAAATAAATTTCTGGAAATATACTCATTTAGGGGATTAAAACATAAATTCCAAGCTTAATGGGCTAAAAATGAAAATTTCGGCCCAATAAGGCCCATTATGCGAATTTTTCTGTTTTGGAGGGCCAAAACTGTAACTTTCTGTAAAACAGCAGACTATAAGTGTTCCAAATCCTTTTCAAAGGTTTAAAATGCTTTTTAAATTTAAAAAGGACCAAAGTTGCAAAAATTTTCCAATTTGGGCCAAAATTGTCAAAGTTGCGAAAAGAAGGGATTAAAACCGAGAAAACTGCATTTTCAAGGACTTAAACTGTTTTCTATGAAAAATATGCTGAAAAATATTAATTTCAATAATTTTTGGTGTTAAAATGTCAAGAAAAATAGTTTAAGGACCAAACCGGGAAGTATTTAATAAAATGGGTTGAAAATGTAAATTTTACAAATAATAAGGGGCTGAAACAGGAATATTTCAAGGCTAGTTCAATGTACACAATTTGATCAAATAATTGCACCGCGACTATCGACGAAATACAATACATTACAATACCCAAAAGTCGTTGTTAAACGAATTGGCTCGGTCTCGAGCCAATAGAAATCTACAACTACTAACACTACGACACTACGATTCATACAAGTAACGTTTGGTAATACATACACATGCGAGTGTGCACAGACGTCTACGCACCATCTTTGGGCCCCACAAGTGTAAAATCTTGTTCGTTGAGCCTAGCTAGCCCAATGACCTGATCTTAAGGCTCGAAGACATTTTTTTTACGGTGTGTTGGGTTTTACCGATCCGACACAACGTAAATGGACTTTCAATGGCTTGTATACCACCGGTCCCCAAGGGTCCTTTGGTATTGCTAGTAAAGTCTACATTTCATGCGAGGCGGGTCGGGGACCCCTCGTACATTTTATCCCCAACCGGCTAATGGAGTTACCGGGGTCTTCGTGACCTCTTTCTCTTCGGATGTGGGACTACACCTAGTCAGGGCGATTGGATAACGCGATTAGTACTGACGACGCCTTCGGAGTCGTTAGTATAACTATAAACTGGGCGTTTGTGTAACGCGGGTTTGTAGTAAATAATCCTGCTCGAAAACCTTCCAACGTCGCCTGGGACTGACACTATACGCTATGCAATGGTTTCAATGTAACATCACGTAATTCAAGGAACTAGGAGAACATCGGGTTTTCCTAGGGTTTTCAATACTTACAAATTTGAAATGCATACATTCTAAACGAACATTTTTTTTTTTTACAAGTATAGAAACAAACAAGCATACCTATGGATCTTCACAAACGTTTTCGGAAACTTATCTTTTCAGAAAATATCGGATTTTCTGGTGGTTCTTCAAACAATACAAAAATTCGATTTCAAACACTACTTATGAACTCACCAACATTTCATATGTTGACGTTTTTCAAAATACTTGTATTCTCAGGGAGCCAGTGAATCAAGGGAAATCATATCCAGTGACGGTTGCGGTTTATTTTTGTATGAATTGAACAACTTAATTTTTGGGGAATGTAATGTTTAAACAATGTATGATATGTAAACACTACTGGTTGTACTATGTTGATGAATGGTGACGAATGTTGTTATGTTTCATATATATTCAATGTTATGGTATTCAATTGAGTCACGACAGCCCCGGACGTTTCCGCCGTCTGGTTCGGGGGTGTGACAAAGAAGAAAAGGGAAGATAGAGTGAGGAAGACGAGAGAGAGAGAGAGAGAGAGAGAGAGAGAGAGAGAGAGAGAGAGAAAGAAATATGGTCCCTTAGGTATTAATTTTTTTTTATAAAAAAAATAGTATTAATTTTTTAATTATTAAAATAAATAAATAAATAATATATTTTTTTTAAAAGAGGGATATATTTTTTTCGGTTGCAAAAATGATCATTTATATGTGAAAAGACAAATATACCCTCATGTGAAATGCACATGAGGGGGTTAACAGTAATAACTTAACGGAAGTTAAGTCGGAGGACCGATTCTACGTACAAACTAGGTCAAAATGATAATGAATCCAAAAAAATCGAGGTTTAAATTGAAACCCCAAAAAAATGCATACCACAAGGACCATTTTTGCAATTTTGTCTATATATATATATATATATATATATATATATATATATATATATATATATATATATATATATATATATATATATATATATATATATATATCACAAAAGTAACGTTTAAACAACAAAATAAAGTCACTTCAAAAACAAACTAAAAAAACAATTTCATTCTTAAAATGAAACACAAACAATAAACCATTAAAATTGCCCTAATGAAAACATTTAAACATAAGAAATTGAATTAGAATATCGAATCACACACTAAAACTAAGGCATAAACACATTAGATTTTAGTAGCTAACAACACAACAAATTCTTGTGATTCGGCCATGAAATATGTTCACCACCAAATTCTTATGGTTCATCATCCAATTTGTTTTCTCTAATTCATTCACAATCAGAATACCCATTTTTTAAATTTGTTCATCTTTATTGTTTTATATATTATATTTGTAATGGAAAAGTTCGCAAAGAAAGACATCAAGTGATTCCTTTGATGTGTTTCTTGAATACCCTTCATCTTTGTCATCAAACTCATCATTGACCACAAAGGTTTAGTCTCATTCATGGTATTCTGCATCCAAATATCTATCTTCAAATTCTAAGTCACATACGTCTGGAGTCTGAGTCTTTGTAATTGTCATTTTCACTCTAATTACTCGAAAGTTAATAGAAATTTACTTTTTTTCACCAAACACACTTCAAACATTCAATACATTTCAGTTATGGTCTTCAATAGTGTAATTTCACGATCGAACAGTCTTCGATGTGTGTTCCGCTCCAGTTCATGATCTTACCCACTAGCCAAACTTTATATTGAATAAGTGGATGTTTAGAATTGAACTAGGTGTATGCTTGCTTTGAAAGAGATGTTTTTTATCCAGGTAAGTAATGATTCAAAGGATAATACTAACATGATAAAGACTGAGAAACAAGTAACTAAACAATTATTTGGTCAACACTTAACAAAATTGAAAAATAAGATTTTTAGTTTAGAAAAAAAGTAATTGTCAAAATCAAGAAAAAACAAAAACTTATTGTCTTTTGACAAAATTGCAAAAATGGTCCATGTGGTTGACATAATTCTGTAGTTTTGGTCCAAAACGAAATGTTGATGCACTACTGGTCCAATTTTAGATATCTTGTGTGGTTTTGGTCCTTATGGTTGTATTTTATTGTGTAATTGGTCCACATCCCACCTAAAATGACTAATATTCCCCTTAAATAATTATATTTTAATTTCTTTTATTTATTTTCTTATTCTTATAATAAAATGAAAAACAAAAAGAAAATAAACCCACCACTCACTCACTCGCACACACACACACAAACACACACACACACTCTCTCTCTCTATCTCTCTTTCTCTCTCTCCCTATCTCTCTCTCTCTCTCTCTTTATATATATATATATATATATATATATATATATATATATTTCTCCTATTATTTCTTTCTCTCTCTCTCTCTCTCTCTCTCTCACACAC